CTTCTTCTTCTTCTTCTTCTTCTTCTTCTTCTTCTTCTTCTTCTTCTCCTTCTCCTTCTCCTTCTCCTTCTCCTTCTCCTTCTCTTCCTCCTCCCCAACCTCCTCCAACTAAGAGTCCTTCTTTACAGAAAACAGTGACAGGATGTCGTTCAGCCCTTCCCCCCTCTAGTTTTTTGGGCAAGGAGCTCAAAGCTCTTCCCCACCCTGGAAATGAGATTTATGCTCTGCCTACACAGCTTCCAATTGACCTCCTAACCCCTCCTGCCATTTCAGGATCCCTTTGAGCGAAAAGAGAAAAGAAAAAGAAATAGAAAAAGAAAAAAAAAACACCAGCCTTCGGAGCTGGTATTGGTATGTGGGCTCGCCCACAAGCATGTGGCTTTTCTCAGGCATGGTGTTGCACCCTGCAGGTGTGGCCGCTAGGTGACACTCGGAAGCTATGAAACCAGTTGGCCCTCTACCCCCCCCCCCCCCAACAGGCCCCCGCCTGGCCCCCCGAGAGAGAGAGAGAAACCCCCAGAGATGAGATAATTGTTGGCAGGAAAACAGCAGCTCTCCAACTGTTCTCCAAACTCTTTAGCTTCCTGTCTTTCATTTAGTTTCACCCACCCCAGCAGCTGTAGCAAAACCAAGGGGTAGTGTGTGTGTGTGTGTGTGTGTGTGTGTGTGTGTGTGTGTGTAGGGTTGGTGGGTGAGAGGAGAGGGACTGACAGAGCTGGAGAAGTTCAGAGAGTGAGTGGGACCTGCGGCTTGGATCGGAGTCGGCCAACTGGAACAAGTAGCTGAACCCACCTCGTGTCTTGCACCACTGTGGAAAGTTTACACAATTGTTATGTGTGGACCCATGAGTGTAATGCCTGCCTCTTCTCTCCTAGGGCCCCTCACCTAGCAGTAAGCCTCACGATGAACGCTGACTTTCAAAAGGTTCGAAGGGATATTTTCACCTTTCCTTCTGTCTAAAATTTCAGGGCTGTCCAACCTGAGCAACTTGAAGACTTGTGGACACTTCAACTCCCAGAGTTCTCTAGTTCTCACCCCTTCAGGCGGCATCCAAATGAGCTAAAACTTTACTCTTTCAAAGTAAACAATCTAACAAACTATAATTAACACAATTCAATTACACCGTGTATGCTCCTGAATGCTCCTGAACCAATGAGGTGAAAGAATACATGTTTCCGAATTGAACCAGAAAGGCAAAACCAAACTGATCCAAGTTAAGAATTCTGTTCAAATATCCGAACTGAAATAGTTCCATTTTTCAATGGAATTCACAATTTAAACCAGATTTTACATGAGTCACTCTGGCCAAAATAACAACCATAGGCTGTATTTGTTTTCTCCAGTTGCCGGAATATGTTCTACAATGGAAAGGATTATGCGCACGGAACCAAATAAAAGAGATTTATGCAAATAATTGCTTAAATCGGTTTTCTCCAATCTGATGTCCTTCCAGATGGGTTCAGACTGCAACTCCCATAACTCCCAGCTAATATGGCCAACAAAACCTTAATATCCAGTTAGGAAAGGCTGGTGTATAACAGAAGCTACACGATCTTTAGGGCAATCTCACCTAGACTGTGAAAATCAACCTCACCACCGGAGGGCAGCAAATCGATTTTAAAAAAAAAAAGCTTGCAAGTTTTGCTGCCCTCTGGTGGTCATCTGGATTTCTGCAGCTCACATCTGATCCTTTTGTAAACTCTGCTTCAGATTATGCTACATAATACCCCGTGAAAGTTGGCTCTTACCCAGTTCAAATTGCACAGCATTCGGAACAGGGACTCGCAGCAGCTGTGAAAGAGGGAAGAGAACGCAAGGAACAGATAAGAACGCAGTGACTGAAAATAAAGCAACGAACAATCATGAAGGCTATCTGGAGCCTTTATAAGTTCCTACTACCCTGTGAACCAGGGGAACAAGAACTAATGGTGTAAACCTGACCTAGAAGGCAAACAAAAGGACTCCGCCCCTCATTGCCAATTATCATTATTTGGGGTAGAATATTTCTTTTCAAAAGATCTTCCCAGGGTCTACTCACCCCAGTTTTGTCCAAGAAGGCATGACAAAAATCCACGAATTGCTTCTTGGCTTCCTTGGGCCCGAGGCGGTTTAGAATGAGGTCCACATGCAGGTAACAGAGCTGCAGAGAGAGAGAATATTAAAGGAAACCCACAAAAGCTACTAAAGGGACTAAGTTTGTGTTGTTTTCTTGCAGACGTTTCATTGCCCAACTAAGTAACATCATCAGTACTAGAAGAGAGGGGGATTTGCTTGCTCTCTGAACAAACAAACGCAGAGAGCAAGCCCTGCTCCCTTTCTGGCACTGATGAGTTGGGTAAAATGTCTGCAAGAAACCACCAAGCTCAGAGACCTCACCACCACCCCAGGGATCCCACAGTCCTCTTCCTCCCCTTCTCCTCGTCCTCTACTCCACAAACTCCATTCCCTTCTGGCACTGATGACGTTACCTAGTTTGGTCATGAAACACCTGCAAGAAAACCAGCAAGCTCAGAGCAGCACCAAAGACCCCACGGTTCAATCCTGAGCTAGAAATATTTTCTTCTATCACTATTGAAAAAAAGGAGAACTCGACTTCTGGTTGAGATTTGCAAAACTTCCTCACTTGGCCCGCTTTTCTAAATTCGCCGCGATGCCAGAGGTCCAATTTGTGAAGAATGAAAGCAAAGTGTGGTAGAAGGTAGCCTAGAGGGAAGGGCTGCTTTGCAGAGGGCAAAGAGGCACCTGAGCTTGGAAAATCCAATCAGGAGGAAGCGGGTTAAAATAGCTCCTCCTTAGTACATCTCTACTGTTTTCCAGAGTACACCTGTAGTTATGGCTGGGGAAATCTGGGAATTGCAGTCCACCCATCTAAAATTGGAGTGTGGGGAGTGAGTGGAAAAATCGAGACAACTGGAATTGAAAATTTGCCCCCTTTTAAGAGACACACTCAAGCAATCTTTAAAATAACTAGCAATAATAAACTGAGAACTCATGGTGGGATATCGGACTTATTATGAGGTCCCAGGCAGTTTTCCTTTTTCTGTTTGAAGGTGTTTCTCCTCACGCTGATGACTATGTCATGTTTGTCGCCCTTGACAACAATCTCTGTTGTCCATTGCCAGTTTGACTGCCACTATATTATGTCACACCTTAATGTTACTTAAGGAGGGTGGCAAGTACCATGCAATTTCCCTTCCTGTCACACTAGACTCATCCAGTCCAGCAAGAAATGCACCAGTGATTCTTCTACAGCTGTGTTTCTCAACTTTAGTAACTTTTAACAGATGACAGATAATCAGAGTTGGAAGGGGCCTTGTTGGTTATTTAGTCCAACCCCTCTACCCAAGCAAGAGACCCTACACCATTTCTGACAAATGGCAGTCCAATCTCTTCTTGAAAGTCAAGTGATGGCACTCCCACAACTTCCGAACGCAACTTCTGTTCCCTTGGTTGATTGTTCTCACTGTCAGAAAGTTTCTTCTTATTTCCAGGTTGAATCTCTCCTTGTTCAGTTTCCATCCATTATCCCTTGTCTGGCCTACAGGTGCTTTAGAAAATAGCTTGACCCCCTTCCTCCTCTCTGGGGCAGCCCCTCAAATATTGGAAGATGCTCTCCTGTCTCCCCTGGTCCTTCTCTTCCCTAGACTAGCCAGGCCCAGTTCTTGAAACTGTTCATCGTATATTTTGGCTTCCAGTCCCCTCATCATCCTGGTTGCTCTTCTCTGTACTTTTTCCTAGAGTCTCAACATCTTTTTTACCTCAACATTTTGTCTCAACATTTTATTTTTTACTTTAAAATGGGTGGACTTCAATTCCCAGAATTCCATAGCCAGCACTGAAATCTTGCCTTGGAATTCAATCCACGGCCCAGCCCAGCACATCCATGTGAAGAGTACCAGCATGGACAAGTGCGTCTTCAGTGCCTGTGGCACTGCAATGTACGTTTAAATTTTGGAGATCTGTCTCTAGCAGCTTCAGTAGAGAGAGGGTGTGGCATTTCATGGCGGTTAGTTTCTAGGTTACGGGGGGGCGGGGGCGGAGGGAAGTTGTGCAGAAGAGGAACAGAGTTAAGGCAGTTGCAGTAAAAAAACACACACACACAAGGATGTGTCAGCTCACCACAGGGCTTGAGTCAAACTGCAACACCACATGTTGTATAAAAACCATCAGGTAGGCAGGATGCTTCATCAAGATCTCCAGGTTTTGGAACAAACTGGTTTGAGTGTCCGGATGCTGGAACTGTGGAGAGAATCCAAAATAGAAAAATGAGAAATAGCTAGATAGGGTCCATGGTGCTCTCTGAGCTTGGTAGTTTTCCTGCAGACGTTTCATTACCCAACTAGATAACATCATCAGTGCCATGAAAGAAATGGCATTTGCTATTATTTTTATATACTAGTATCTTGCCCTGGGTATATACTGTAAGTGTGTAAAAATAAGAGCAAACCCCACTCTCTTTCCTGACAGTTAGAACAATTAACCAGTGGAACAACTTGCCTCCAGAAGTTGTGAATGCTCCAACAGTGGAAGTTTTAAAAAAGATGTTGGATAACCATTTGTCTGAAGTGGTGTAGGGTTTCCTGCCTAGGCAGTGGGTTGGACTAGAAGACCTCCAAGGTCCCTTCCAACTCTGCTATTCTATTCTATTCTATTCTATTCTATTCTATTCTATTCTATTCTATTCTATTCTATTCTATTCTTCTAGCACTGATTAAGTTACCTATTTGGATAATGAAATGTCTGCAAGAAAACCACCAAGCTCAGAAAGCACTAAGGGCCCCACAATTCAACCCTGAGCTACAAATATTCTTTTCTGTCGGTACCAGAAATAGCTTTCTTAGCCATCTTCAACCCCCTTGGGAATGGGTACCATAAGGCCAGCTGTCTGTTTCTTCCATCTCCTGTTCAGATCCTTCTGTGGTTTTCATCCCATCCAGCATTAACAAGAACTTCAAAAGAATCTCCAGGCCAGCAGCTGATCAAATCTGGCCCTTTATGCTGCATGTTCAACTCAATGCGTTCGGGAAATGCTCAAGTATACACCGGAGCGGTGTTTTATCAATCTTGGCTGCTTGAAGATGGGTGGACTTCAACTCCCAGAATTCCCCAGCCAGCATGCTGGCTGGGGAATTCTGGGAGTTGAAGTCCATTCATCTTTAAGCAGCCAAGGCTGAGAAAACCAACCTAGAGTATTATGTGATTCTAGCTGGAAGAACCAATTTTGGTCTAACGCAGTATTCCTCAACCTTGGTGACTCGAGGGGGTATGGACTTCATTTCCCAGAATTCTCCAGCCACCATGTCTTGGGTTGAGACATCTTCAAGTTGGCATGTTTGAGAAACACTACACAGGAGCATTATTATTTTTTGTAATCTTCTGTTGTGATCCCTGAGAAGATGGCCTATTTATGATTCTGCCCAACCAGATAGTAACATCTAGCTGACTTTGCCTGATCTCAAAAGCTTAAAAGGATGGATTTGGTTAGTATCCGGAAGGGAGATCACCCAGGAAATCTCAGGATAAAAAGCCTGATTTAGAAGTTAAACAAAAAAAAAACCTGGGAAAAGACAATAGGAAATTACTTCTATAGAAAAAACAAACGGCATACCTATTTCATGAAATCACCAAGATCTGTGCAACCATTTTAAAGATCCACCCGAGTGTCTAAAATTGTGGGTCATCCCAGTTTGATAGCAGTGAGCTTCATAATTTAAATTTACATTTCCTGAAGAAGTCCTTCCTTTTTCACTCCTAAATTTTCCTTCCCAGGTACCATCTGGGTAACTATCTCGGCTGGAAACACAGAAGTACTAGATTCCTGCATTTGGCAGGAGATTGGATTAGATCTGTGATGGCGAACTTATGGCACGCGTGCCACAAATGGCATGCAGAGCCATTTGTAGGGCATGTGAGCCCCAGCCAAAGTTACCTGTACTGCGCATGCACACCTGCCAGCTGATTTTTGGCCTGTTTGAGGCCTTTTTCTCCCTCCCAGGACTCGAGGGAAGCCACTGCAGCCTTTGGAAATACCAGAAGTGCCAAAACGGGCCCATTTTTCAGCCTCCAAAGGCTGCAGAGGCTTCCCTCGAGCCTCCAGGAGGGCAAAAACGGCCTCAAACAGGCCAAAAATCAGTTGGGAGATGCATGCATGCTCAGTGCAGGTAAGGAGGGGTTGCATGTGCATACACAGGGGGGGGACAGAGCGCACTGCATTGTGGGTGCTGGTGCACACATGCGCGTGATATCGGCACACCCCAACAAAAAGGTTTCGCCATCACTGGACTAGATCACCTTCAAGTTCCCTTCCCACCTCTGCATTCTACCATTCTTGGAGTCACAAATAACTCTGAGCTTGATTTCCCCCCCGTTCCCATATCCGGCATGATTCAATAAACTACAGCTAGTCCTCAATTTATGATTGTAACGGAGCCTGCTTATCACCTGTCCTAAGTTGAGGACTATCTGTAGGCATGATAACAGAAATAACAATTACTTCCACGTTTTTCCCCAGACTAATCTCTCTGCCTTTCCATGGAGGAGACCCACTTAATCTTCTTAATCTTCTTAAGGCCCCTCTTGCATTTGTTCTGCTAATTTCCCCACTTACAGGTTCAATGTCATTTTCAAAATCCTCATCTTCTGCACCAATGATGGACATAGCCGCGCCCCCTTGAGCTCCCAGGGCTGAACTCTGGAGGAAAAGAAAAACACCAGACATCCCCAAGGTCATTGGGGGGGGGGGGTTTTTCCCCCCCCCCAGCCCACACCCCACTATCTGTCTGTCCGTCTATCTACCTACTTGCAATCTATCTGTTTCTCTGTCATCTGTGATTTATCTATCGGCCTGCCTGTCTACCTACTTTCCTACCTGACTGTCATCTGGCTGTCATCTATCTATCTGTTATCCATCTACCAGTATCTATCTATCTATCTATCTATCTATCTATCTATCTATCTATCTATCTATCTATCTATCTA